CAACCCAAATCATTCTATGATTCTGTGATGAAAACACAGTTCTGCGCTTTCATAATCCATACCAACTGTAAATGAGCTGAAATGCCCAGAAGGCTTGAGCATGCTGAAACATTCAGCTCCCACTTATGCCTTGCTGAGATCAACACCTATTTCATCCCTCAAAGGACACTGAGTGTAACCCGCCAATATATGCTACTTGGGTAGCAGCAGGAGGCTCTCTCACATCAGGTGTACTGAATGTGTTGCCAGAATTTTCCTAGAATAACATGACAGGAACTGGAGCCACGACTATATTGTTAAAGCATTTTACCCATGACATAGGTACAAACCCCTTTATCTACTTTAGCATCCACGTTCAAACCACAAATTCTGATTTCCCAAAGGATGTCTTACCCACAAGGAACTGAGAAATGTTTATGGCCTTCCTTCATACCTGTCACAGTTTGCAAGATTAAGTGATTAATCACGCTTGAGAGAATCCACAGTATAGGCATGGAAGGAGGCACTGTATGTAACCCAATCTGTACGTATGGACCACAGATACAGGTGGTATATAACAAACATTGCCCTCAGACTTTCCAACAAGCTAGCACAAGTGACTGCCTGTCCAGTGTGCTGTTTTGTTTCATTTGTTTGTTTTACAAACCCTGTAATAAGAAGCTTAACAATCTCCAGGTGCACATGGGACTGTAACATCCTGGGATCCTAGCTTCTAGGAGGCAGGAGAGGAACCGGCTCCTAAAAATGGAATCATATAGGACAGGAATCTCCCTGTCTTGATGCCCAAGTCCTTTTTACAGGCTTGGTCCTACTGCCAAACTCTCATCTCCTCTTGAAAAGGGCTGTGCATGTCTTTTACTCTGAAGTAAAAGAATGCACTCAGGGTATAGCCTGCTGCTGTCAAGAGTCAACAACAGCTTGCAACTGTGAGAGGTTACAGTGATAAAATTGGACCTGAACTTTAACAGCAGCATGAAACAGCCTGGAACAAACTGCCTAGCGGTGCCATTTCCTTTGGCACTTGCACATTAAGTCATCAGGAGGTTAAATGGGATTGGTAGTGAGTGCTGCTGCCAAAAGGAGACAAGTCACAAAGAATACAATTGTAAGAGAACGAAAGAAATTGTTCTGAAATTCAAATACCCGTGCAGTTCTGCTGTTGTGTAATTCAGCTAACACCAGACACATTTCAGCTGTCGCTGTGAACTACCAATTAAATAAAACTATTATTACAGCTTGTGCACAAACAACGTCAGCCAAGAAATGTTGAAATGAAAAATCTGGCCAAGTGCCGAACATCACGCACAAGAAACCTGCTAGAACATGCTGTGCTGATGATCACAGAGGGTTTTATTCCTAATGCAGAGAAAGAGATGGTTGATCAGAATATATAGTTGGAGACAAACTGAAAACAAACTGGCTTGTTGAATTTTGCCCTACGGATTAGTTTGTCCTAGCAAACTCTTGATTCAAAAAGAAAGGAATGAAAAAACATCAAACGCTGCTTGGATCTGTTCCACACGAGGTACAAATGTAATAAAGATGTATTACTTCAATGACAAAATACGAAATGAGAACTAGCTATTGAAAAATTGCACCAGCTGCCAACAGCAGTTCACATCACTTGGTTTTCTAATTTCTGTGACCAAGGAAAGATAAGGTGATCCTTGCAGTGACTTGAATGCAGTATGTACAGCAGTGCAGAGAAATGAAGGGCATGAAAATATTAGGAGTTACTAGTTTGACACTTTAGTAGCATCTGAGGAGGAAAAGCTGTCTACGGGGAAAGAAAAGTGTAATTTTATTGGAGAATTAAAATATGGGAGAATCAAAGTCCTTTTCAGGAGCAGTGGCCTATGTGTTTCTGAATAGAAATGAGTATCCCAAGGGACTGAGGTGATTTGAGGTAAAGAGTCTGAGGAATGTAGGATCAGGCCCTTTACTTCAGAATTATAATAGATAAAGCAAGCATATGCCAGTAGCATAATAATCTTATAAGAGCTTACTGGTAGTGGAGTACATGTGTGACTGATTCTGGGCAAATCGCAGATGTCTTAGAGGGCAGAATGGTGTATAGCAAGATTTATAACACAGCCTCCTGAGTCAGGTCCTAACTTCCACTGTAAACACAGTTAGCTTGGATATCCGAGGTGGCAGTGCCTGATGCAGACTCTGAAGATGTCACTAATCTGCCCCAAATACATTTTAAAAAGGCATATTAAGACTGCTCAGTTTCCTAAGTCTGTAACACAGACTGCCAAGATATGACTTAACCATGTCAGCAGAGGAACCATAAGGTATTTAAAAACATACCCATGAAAAAAACCCAACAAAATAACAAAATAAAATTGGTAGTATTTATGAAGGGAAATACACAATAAAATGGCTTACAAGGGTGAACTTGATGATTCAGCACAGCCCTTCTATTACCATGGTGTCATGTTTTAGGAAAACTTAGGTTTTGTTAAAAATTATCTACATTTCTTGTAAGTCTAGATCTTTCCTTCAGTTCAACTTATCTAAATACCTTCCTTCTCTGCTTCCCAGAGAGAAAACAATATTCTTTTCCATATTTAGAGGCCCTCACATACCTCCAGTCAGGTGGTCACAGCTAGCCAGCTGTCCATTATTATTACAATTACATTTCTGACAGTAGCCTCCATATTTTTGTGGATTTCCAAAATATCCTGGAGCACAACTAGATAAAGAGATAAAAATAATTTTTATTAAATATTTGAAGCCACTTTTGTGAAATATACTTTCCCTTGACAAAAAAAAAAACACAGTTATTCTCCTAAAGAAACTTTCAAGAACTTTTTATTTCATGTCTTGACTTAGAAAAAAAGGGTGTATTTCTAGAAGGTTTACAGTATTCTCTGCACTATGCTAAAAATATCTTTCCAAGCACTGCAGAAATTTTTTCTAAAAATAAAAGAACTCCCACAATGCTCATATAGGAATATGTCACTTAATCTGAAAAAATACAATGCACACAGATAGATACACACGTACATAGAGAATTTGACAAGGCTTAACCCAGCAAACCACACCATTCTGGTCTGTGATCCCACTAGAAAACACATATTAAGAAGGATCATACTGCAAGTGCACGTTGAGATTTCAAACAGCAATGGCACTGAATGACATTATCACTCTTCTGCTGGGTGATACCTCCTCTTGCCATCTGCCAGTAAAGCAGTCAGTGTGAACGATCTCTAAATAGTTTATAGGTAAAATATATTATCCAGACTGGCTAGCTAATATTCCTAGAAGTCACTCTGTTGTAAGATCTATAGGGGTGGTAATGCGGGATCAAAGGGCCATGATGAGCAGCTGAGGTACAGCTAGATCTGGAAGAGAAAATCTGTCTATAACCTGCAGCTTAGATGTCAGAGGTAACAGTCTTGAAGCACAAGACAATGGGCTACTGGAAGTACTGTCTTCAGGTGAGACATCATGACTTATTGGCCTCAAGTTTCCAAACCAGGCAACATTGCTCCATTATGCTTAAATTCTCCCTGGATTTGAAACTCGGTGAAATTGCTTCCTCTGCCTGCCTGAAACTGCCACGCTGTTCCTCTTGTGCTTTGCCAAACCACTGCAATGTTCCAGCAAAAGAGATGGCTTCAGTGTTGTGTTTGTATGCTCGAACTGTGGAGCGCATTGGAATCATTTGAGATGAAGAGTATGGTGTTAAACATTACATGGCTGCTGCTGAAAACTAAAGAACACTGAAGCACCATCAGGTACGTTGGATGAAACAGGAAAATGTTTCTAACTCGAAAAGCGATGAAGTAAGTGGGAGCCATTATTA